AAAACCCGAAAAAATAAATTTGCACACAAGTTAGCAAAAAAATCGAAGGTAACACAGTGGGAGCAATCGGAATAATTAAAAGTGACGACACTGTTACCCCCAAAGATGAGGCCACAGCCCAAGCACTCGCCTAGGGACACAGTAGTCGTTAACAACCCTGAGGAAGACCTCATCACTGGACAATTAATTTTGCCAGAATCAGAAGTCTACAAGGCGATAGTGTCATTTCCAGCAGGATCTGAAGGTTACACTGAAATTCGACCACAACACCTCAGAGATGGTAAATCCAGTACTCGGCACATCTGCATCAATTCTTCTCTCCTAGTTAATAGCCTTCGTTAACAACTGCCTGGCTGGGCGGATTCCAGAAGAAATTAAACCTTTCTTTATTTGGAGCCTCGTTAAGCGCTTTGAAGAAGGATGGGGAAATCAAACCCAACGCTGTTGGTAACACACTCCGCCGTCTCGTTGCCAAAGCAGCAGTAAGAAACATTCAACTAGAAGCTGCCAGTTTACTCCAGCCACACCAATTGGGCATTGGGGTCTCTCAAGGCAGTGAAACAGCAGTTCATGCAGCAAGGGTCAACGTCAGGGACTTACCAGAAGACAGGGCCGTAGTCAAACTTGACTTAAGAAATGCCTTTAATATGGTGAAAAGAAATGTGGTCTTGCTAGCCATTCGGGATCGGCTCCCCAGTTTTTCCCTTCATTTCCCTTCATTTCAGGGCCTGGTTGATCAGGCCCTGATCCACCGGGAGGCCTGGTTATGGACCAGGCCGCGGAGACGTTGGTCCCCGGAATACCCTCCAGGTAGCCTACCAGTAATCGTGTTCCTTGTCGCTTATGAAATGGTATGTAACGAACTACATAAGAACATAAAGAACGAACACTGCAGCAGTCCTACTGGCCCATGTTACTCCCCGGCTTAGAGCGGGAAGTAACTATATCTTAATTTTCACTATTAAATAACCGATACATTGTAATATATGATGAAATATATATTTGTGGTGGGCATTTTAGACAAATGTACTTTACATATTATGAGTTTTTGATATCCATCTGAAAGTACTGATTTAGTTTTTCATTGTATGTCTCTTTTTGTTAGACAATATATTGTTTTATTTCACTATAAAAAGTCAAAACCATTACTCATTTCCCATTTATATTACAAATTAAATAAGGTTCTTCTGTCACCTTGTCATGGTGAAACTTGGATCCTTCGCACAATATTTATATATCCCCGAAAGGGGATGCCTGTAGTGCTTGTCTGGTTTTCTTTTTTCCTCTACTTGAATGACCCCTACCGACTTAGCCCTTTCCTATGAATGTTATTTACCTCAATTTCCTGATGAAAAGCGAAATATCTGATAGGCTTCAAACTTTGATTCTGGTACATTTTACTTAAATATGTTCAGATTTTTATTGGGCTTTGCCGATTCCAGTTATATTAAAAAAATGAGGGCTTCATTCTTACCTTTTGGAAGCATTACGAAACCTGGGAATAAGTTGAAAATTCTAAGGAAAAATCATACCTTCTTCACTATACACCATATGCTTATGCAATTTCCTAAGAGATATTGCTTTTAATTTTCAACCCTAAACAGTTTCAAATATATTTTTAAAATGTCATGCTCTAGCACTCCCTTAGGATAACAGATAAGAGTCTCATGAAGATTATTGCTTTCGGTGACTGTCAGTGAGACTACCATTAAACCCTTCTTGCCTCCACGTCGGTAGAGGTAATGACAAACTCTATAGACAAATCTAGTGAAGTTTTGGAACATTAGTCTATGTTCATGGTGTTTTGACTGGGTGTTGCCCTTTTGTTGAACTTAAGCTCCTGGGCCTCTTAAGGGATTGGAGCGGCCACTTGAGGACAAGTAAGGTGCAGCTACAAGGGCTCAGCAACTCGAATTCCTAATTTTTTAAAGCACGTGTTCTTGCTTTATTACTGTAAATATTTGTATGTTGAACTCAGTTCACAAATTTGATAATTCTGATAAATTTCATCTTTTTCCAGTCTCGTGACTTCCTGAGTTCGCTGCCCACTGTACAGAACTTCATCCTGTTCCCAGACAAGGTGACATCAGCCTCCAGTAGATCACTGCCGCCACCGCAGGTCTATTATTAGTACTACAACTGATGGTAAGTGAACTCTGCCGAGAAATTAGCTTAAAATCTTATTTATCTTGTTACTTGTTTAGGGCTTTCTATACAATTCTATATAATTCTCGATTGAGGGGGTCATTGATGACTTGTCTAGTATTTTAAACTGATAGATTATAGAGGTATGGGTGTCTGTGGGAAACAATCAGGCTACAGTACTAGGGTTGAAAACGGCAGATATAACCAGGATACCTCAGGGATATGTTTAAAAGACAATATTCAAAATAAAGTTCCTAATAAAGACAAAGCAACTGATCAACAAACAAAGAGAGATAGTAGAAGGCAACGAGTGACTAGCTCCCTTAAGGTTTACTATACAAATAGTAGGAGTCTAAGAAATAAGATGGATGAGCTAAGATTACTCGCAAGTGCAGGTATATAGATATTATTGCTATAAAAGAGACCTGATTCAACTTGAACGATAGAGAAATGCCTTCTGAATGCAACATAAAGTGTTATAAACTATTCCATACTGATAGGGTCAACAGGAAGGGTGGTGGAGCGGCGATGCATGTCAGAGATAATTTAAATTGTTGTGTTAGACAAGATATAAGATTAGAAACATCGGCCACAGAATCTGTTTGGCTACAGTTTCTTGAGGGTCGTGAAAAGTTAATTTTGGGTGTGATTTATAGGCCCCCAAACCTTGATAGAGAGTACAGTAAGCTGCTATGGGACGAAATTCATAAGGCATCTAGATATGAAAATGTTGTGTTAATGGGAAATTTTAACTTCAGACAAATTGATTGGAACAGAATGACAGGAAATCTTGAGTCTAGTGACTTTCTTGATACGGTTCAGGATTGTTTTTTAAAACAGTTTGTGACAGAACCAACTAGAGGAAACAATCTGCTTGACTTGGTTCTTGCCAACAAAGAATCACTAGTTAATAATCTTGAGGTTAATGATGAGATTGGGGAAAGTGATCACAAATCACTTAGTTTCAATACATCATGGAGTTACCTGAACAACTGCAGTCAAATCTCTGTCCCAGACTTTTGCTTGGCTGATTTCATGGGACTGATAAATTACCAGGGTGGGCTAAATTGGGATGTCCTGACTATGGGTCAGGTAGGTGATCTTGGTTGCCAATATGACGTTTTTCAGAGCATAGTTCTAGCTGCTCAAACAACTTTTGTTCTAAGTAGGGAAATTAGATCTAACAAAAATGATCCCAAATGGATGAACAATAGATTAAAACATCTCATTGGTCAAAAGAGAGGCATATATAGGCGTATCAGAAGAGGGGATGGGCAGTTAAGAAATCAGTATATTCAATTAAAGAGGGAAATAAAAAAAAGAATAAGAAAAGCAAAAAGGAATCATGAGGCTAAGGTCGCAAGGGATTCAAAGACTAACCCAAAAGGGTTCTTTCAGGTATACAGAAGTAAGATTAGGGACAAGATTGGCCCACTTAAGAGTAACTCTGGTCAGATCACTGACAGTGATAAGGAAATGTGTGAAATTTTCAATTCTTACTTCCTTTCAGTTTTTACTCAGGAAAATACTAGCGAAATTCCAGAAATAATTGATTATGTAGAACAGGACGATATTAATTATGCACGATTGCGGTAACTAGTGACATGGTCCTCAGACAAAGAGAAATTAAAACCTAACAAATCCCCAGATCCTGACGAACTGTTTGCAAGGGTGTTAAAGAATGTAAAAAGCAACTTAACATACCTTTGGTTAATCTTTTTAACATATCACTACAAACTGGCATAGTGCCTGATAAGTGGAAAATGGTAAATGTAATACCTATTTACAAGGCAGGTGACAGGTCCTTAGCGTCGAACTATAGACCAATAAGCCATACCTCCATAGTGGGAAAAAGTTATGGAATCAATAATTGCCGAAGCAATTCGTAGCCATCTCGAAGGGCATAAATTGATTAATGAATCTCAGCATGGTTTTGCAAAGGGGCGTTCCTGTATTACGAATTTACTAACATTTTTCACTAAGGTGTTTGAGGAGGTAGATCATGGTATTGAATATGATATTGTGTATATGGGCTTCAGTAAGGCTTTCGATAGAGCAAACTTAAGGCACACGGAATAGGAGGAGAAATTTTTTTCCTGGGTAGAGGCATGGTTGACGAATAGGCAGCAGAGAGTTTGCATAAATGGGGAGAAATCAGAATGGGGGCACGTCACAAGCGGTGTTCCGCAGGGTCAGTGTTGGGCCTGTTGTTGTTCGCAATCTACATAAACGACATAGATGAAAGAATAAATAGCGACATAAGCAAATTTGCTGATTGACACCAAAATAGGCCGTCCAATTCATTCTAATGAGGACATTAGAGCACTCCAGGATGGTTTGAATAGACTGATACAGTGGTCGGAGAAGTGGCAGATGCAGTTTAATATAGATAAATGCAAAGTTTTAAATGTTGGACAGGAAAATAACCATGCCACATATAAACTAAATAATGTAGATCTTAATATTAAGGATTGCGAAAAGGATTTAAGAGTTCTGGTTAGTAGTAATCTAAAATCAACAGTGCATTAGTGTTCGCAATAAAGCTAACAGAATCCTTGGCTTCATAGCAAGAAGTATAAATAATAGGAGTCCTCAGGTTGTTCTTCAGCTCTATATATCTTTGGTTAGGCCTCGTCTAGATTATGCTGCGCAGTTTTGGTCACCGTATTACAGAATGGATATAAATACACTGGAAAACGTACAAAGGAGGATGACAAAGATGATCCCATGTATCAGAAATCTTCCCTATGAGGATAAATTGAAGGCCCTGAATCTGCACTCTAGAAAGGCGTAGAATTAGGGGGGAAAGCAGGAATTAATAAACGGGATGTAAATAACGTGCTGAAAATATCTGACATATACAGGACTCGCAGCAATGGCTTTAAATTGGAAAAATTTTGATTCAGGAAGGATACAGGAAAGCATTGGTTTGGTAATAGAGTTGTGGATGAGTGGAACAAACTCCTGAGTACCGTCATAGACGCTAAGACATTGTGTAGTTTTAAAAATAGGTTGGATAAATACATGAGTGGGTGTGGGTGGGTGTGAGTTGGACCTCACTAGCTTGTGCCACTAGGTCGGATGCACTGCATCTTCCTTAAATGATGTGTCTGACCTCACTAGGTCAAGGCATTGGCTTAAGCCGGTACGAGAATTGGAGCTGCCTCACATAGGCCAGTAGGCCAGTTGCAGTGTTCCTCATTGCTTATGTTCTCTGAGATGGGTGGCTTAACATAACCTTCCATTAAACACTGACAAGCTATCGGGTTTTCCCACTATTACTTAAACAAAAGCTGCCTAGCCTGGTAAATAAATGGTCTTGTACTGTTTTTGTTCAGTTCACTAAATCACCCATAGTTTTTTTTTTAATGTAACAGGGAAGAAATCATAATGCAGAATTTCAAGTCCAGACATATCTAGTTTCTAGACACTTTCTTGTATCTATTGTCGAGACTTCTCGCCGACCAGTGACTTTAATAATCCAATACAGAAAATAATATTGGAGATGGTAGAAGATATGAATCAGTTTGAAGCTGTCAGTCTGTCTTGAAAAGTGATAGATATATTAGCCTTAATTAATCTGAAGTGGATGCCCGAGTATGGAGACTTAATAAGACAGGAGAGGTGAAGCAGACTAGTAACGACGTCACAGGTGGCCGGAGCCCGTTAGTGGAAGTAAATAATGTATATAGATTAGACAAGTGTTAGTTGTAGAAGAATTCTCAGCAACAAGATTCCAAGATGTTGCTGTGTCAGTCAAGAACTATATATTAATGGTCTATAAAATTAGATGAAAAAGCAACGTGCTGCGCAACTGGGTTAGCAAAACTTCTCCACAATAGATCCCCAAGTGTTACATGCGTTTCTTTCATCTACTTGTAGGAAGGTGACTGAGAGTCGTTTAATAACATAAAAAATCAATAAAGAAATTTATTCTTAAAAGATTTAAAAAAAAATACTTGAACAAGTAATTATGAATCAATTTCTTCTCCATATATTCAACATTGCTAAATCAGCGTTTAAATTTGTCTTTATTAGCATTGTCCATTTATATTCGATCTTGTTTGAAATGTCTTGTGGTGCACTAACATTCTCAGTCCCTACAGTTGAATCTTCGTCATTCATGGGGGTCAGTACAAAGAGAAGCCTCTCACACTGGGTTAAGTTGTGGCGTTTGTCCTATGGGCTCCCCTCAAGGGAGGCTCCTTGACGCTGGTGAGGGGCTTTTGATCTAGGGAATTGAATCTGTGCTCCAGTTCCCTGAATTGAGCCTGAATGCCTTCCATCGCCCCCACATGCACTGTATAACCCCTACGGGTTTAGCGCTTCTCATAATAATAATAATAATGTCCTATGGGCTTGCCACCATGGGAGCTTCGCCTTGGAAGTTTAGTCCTTCATTCGTCATGCACTCGCGAAATAGTAGGGCTATTTTTTTTATTTCTGTAACTAGAATTACTATTATAAAAATACTCATTTTTAGTGAACTGTGTTATAGATTAGACAAGAGTTGTTAATTTTAACGTTTTATCTGGTTGGTGATGCTGAGACAATCCATCCTAGAGCTTATCAACAGCACATACTGAAAACAGTTTCTCATTAAGTTTAATGTAAGAAAAGACACTTGAAACTGATGCCTGATGAGGAAGCTGTTGACAGCAAACCTCAGCTTAATAGCTTATGATCAGTACGCTTAAATGTATGTTTCAACAGTATCCTTTCTGAGCAGACAGAATATGCTGTCACTAAGTCGTTATATTTAATCACGACGATAATGGAAAACTTCGCCAGTATGGATCTCCAACACGTTATCCAGTGAGCTCTAGAGCACGACCTTTCCAGCAGTTCTTCCTGTAGCTACATTTATATCAATGATTTCTTGGATTAAACCTGACTGCCGCCTCCTATTTCCCAAATACTGTATTGATTTCCCCTTGCATATTTACGGCTTTCCCATAAATTTATATTTATCTTAACTGCAAAGGC